ACAAAAGGAATTTTCGTCTCATAAACTCAGCCCAGTGTAAGCGTACTAGAACTAACAGAGGCAAAGGAGATAATGGAGACAAATATCCCTCCCCTTTTTGTATAGGAATTCAGCAAACCCCTCAGAGTTAAGATACTGCTTAGACATTTCACATCGGTCTACTGTATAGACCCAAGCTTAAAATAATCTCCATTCACTCAACTCAACTTGTTGGTGGTTCCAGATCTACAGAGATACTGAACTAAAACTGGTTTCAACTGGAGAGCCGATGGCCCAGGCAAAAATGAAAGGCCTTCATCACAATGCAGGGAGATGGCTGAGCAGTGGCAGTCCCTGCATTAAGTGGTGTCTCTAGCTCCCATAGGATCTGCCCTCAATTGCTCAAAGAGCCTGACCTCTGACAAAGACCAATGATTTCAGCAGTAATTAATGGAACTGTCAAATTAATTAACCCAAGTCTTTGTTCACAGGGAAAAACCCCTCTAGTATCAATACTGTTGTTCACCAGTCCTTGACCAAGCCTATAGACCCAAACCTTCTCAACTGGGACACAGGGACACCACTGACTGATGGCCCTAATAAGCCCCTACTTAGTAATCTGCTGACGTTTGTTAATAAACCTTCTCACCATAATATAATCCTTTGATGATGTGACCAGTGGACTAACAGGTCTCTAAAACCTCACACTATTTTAAATAGATACAAGCCTGCAAATACCAGCATATACCAAACATATTTCCTATAATATTTCTCAGATATCCTTTTGAATTATGGTGATGAAACACTAGACAGATGCTGTAGGATTTCATCAAGTCATTTAATAGATGGCCCTCATTAAAACACTGGTCCCCTGTCCTTGTCTATGAAGACTCTGACTCCTACAAATGCCCACGTATACATTTCCATACTATCTCTTTAGAGGATTCAGAACTATTTTCTTACACCTAACACAGCTTTTATTCCATTTAGAATAATTACCCACCATCCCATTTCTGACTTTCAAGAAAAACAAGACACTTAATTGACCACAGGAGGACTCTCTCAAGGGCACCAGGCTGCACCCGCTCGGCTGCAAGCTCCCAACTTCAGCTGATGTAATCGGCTACAAGAAGCTGACTTCTATTTTTAAATTATACCCTTTTTACTCTGCCTTCAAAGGGCACATATATCACACTTTGCTCGTAAAATACCTCGTGTTCCTGGGTGAATCACACTGTCAGGAGGAGCCTCCGGCTGCACACAGTCACCCAGCCTTGCCCATTTAGTTAGATTCACCCACCACAGTCCATTATTTGGACAGAGGAGAACAGCTAAGTGTGGCCACACTCTCCAGGTATCTTGCTACTCAGGGTCATTTCCACAAGGAGCAAATGACTAGCAGGGTCTTACTTGTAGGCTGGGCTCAAGCTCTCCCCTCTCTGTTTCCACCCCCTTCACACAAGCTTGGTAAAAATTGTCCCATGTCAATGCTACAGCTCTGTCTTCAGCTGCTGAGCTTCTAAAGGTGCCAGAAGGAAAACAGACTATTCGCTTTGTTTGATTTTAAGTTTCGTTCATCATTTCAGCTATACTCACTGTGTACTCTTTAAAAGGTTTCTTGGCATTCTGAAAACACTGAAAAAAATCTTGGTTGGACAGGAAAACACACTTGAACTTGCTATTTATTTATTTATGCTTATTCTGCTTATTTCTAAAAATAATGAAGGGCTCTGTAATTAGAGAGTCTAGTGGAGGTCAGTACAGTGCCTATCTTTCTGGTCTACTTCCTGCTTCATTACACAGTCACCCCATGTCTCTCCTGGGTTTGTATAAAAGCTTCCTAGCAGATGTGCCAGGTTCAAGGCGTGGGACCTTCCTATCCTTTTTCCACCTTAAAATCTGAGTGAGCCATTGAGATCACAAATTTGAGCATGCCTCTCCCTTTCTGAACACCCTTCCCTTCTTGCCTTCTGCTGTGCAGATGTCCTATCTTCTCTGGCCCTGTTTTCCTATCTTGCTCCATGGTCTGGCCACCCCTGTACCCTTGCCCACCTCTCCTTTGCTGTGGTTCTAAATGCCCTGTTGCTTTCTTTCACTTAGGGCCCCTGTTCAAGTTGTATCCGCCATAGAGTACTGTGTCCTGTTGTTCACACTCTCAACCCAAGCTCTTCCTTCTTGCCTTTCACATCTTGCTTAGATGCCCTTTCCTCCAGGATGCCCCTTCTCAGGTGTTCTTGTGGCACCACATGTTGCCCCAAATGACCACACAAGACAGGATGGGCGGTGATGATGCCTTCTTATATACTACTGTATTTACTACTATATCATTTGTTTAATGAAAAAAACACTTGAATGAAGGCACACTAAAGACTCCAAATAGGGAGGGCCACAGTTCATGAAATGTGAAGGCAGGAGCTGGCACAGAGGAGCCCGAAACTCCCACTCCCATGGTAATTCCAGAGGAGCCACTGGCAGCTGGATCGCTATCCCAGATGACTCAGAAACACCTTTAGGTAACACATTCCTGAGAGATCAATGGAGACTCTGTGTAAAACGCAGTCCCACCGGGACCAAACACTAATGATCACGCAAAGTTGGATTTCGTGTTATAAACTCAAGTGAACAGAAAACGTCACAATTTAAAGTCATCCATCAAACAGGGCAGCAACCTGTAAATGAATGATTCTATTTCTTACTCCTACATCCATGTATGTCAATTTCCAAAAGATCGGGAGGTCAGCTGCATGTGGTGGGAATGCCAGAGAGGTCTGAGAAAACACAGCTCTGGAACTTCAAACTGGGGGCCTGGCATTCTGCCACCCAATAGAGGAGTGTGAATTTGGGGCCAGGTGCTAGGATTAGGGCTCTCAAGAGAACCAACATGGTCCCTGTCCTGTGGAGGGTCCAGCCTAATCAAATACACACTTAAAAACAGGCTTCTTTTAAAAAACATACTTTTCCCCTAAATTCTGAGTACACCATGTTCAGCTGTTAAATTAAATCCAGCACACCAGGGATTAGGGAGTAAGCCATAGTTTCAGCTACTTCTGCATGGCAAAGGATTTTTAAAAAACCATATTTTCCAAAGTCAACCAATTGATGACACTAAATGGTGGGAAATGTTTCAATGTTCAAACCAAATGACGAAGGACTTGGTTTCTATTTCATTCTTACAGAGTAACCACCTCCCCCCACACCAAACAAAACCAAATAAACACAATGCCACATGAAATTCTTCTGCCTTCTAGAATAGCTGTATGTTTACTTTTATTATCTGGCACAGGGGAGGGACTCAATAACTGTTAATTGAGTGAATAAATCAGAGGAGAGGAATTACCATGAAAATGCTTTCGTCCATTTTAGGTATGCTTTTCAACTTCCTTTTTTTTGTCTCTTAGGGAAAAAAAAATTATGCATATTTTCTTGGATTCTGACTTTCACATCCCTTTCTGACCTTGAGTTAGTTACCTAACTGGGTATCATTGTCCTCATCTATAAAACTAAATCTGTGTGTTGGTGACTGTGGGGCTAAGGGAGTAGCAGATACAAGGATGATCAGCACTATGCCCTGCAGATAGTGTTTTTTCTTTCTTTTTTTATACCTGTTCCATTCCATTTTTCTCACCCCCTCCCCCAAACAAAGTATGAAAGACAAAGCAAGTGACTAGCCTGGTTAGAAAGCCAGAAAACTTTGAAAGTAGCTTAGATTCACCAGTATCATTTCAAACTGTGACAATTTTATTTACTATCTCAAAAGCTTGATTTTTCCCTTTTAAAAGATTAGTGAATTTCATAAGATCATCTCTAAAGGAGAGAGATATTTCAATCTTGATGTTCCATGAACTCAGAAGTCTGCCTTCTAACATCTATGTTCAGAAAGAAAATGGATGTTGATTCCCTCCCTACGGAAGGATTCTAAAAATTACAAACCAAGAGGAAATTTGACTTTTAGAGGAATCTGTATCAATCTAATGTGTAGGTCAAGATCTGGTGATCATTCTTTTACACATAGAAGGTCCCTCCTTTCATTTACCCAACCCCCACATCCAGCCTCCAAAACCAGTAAGTTTTTCCATTCATAGTAGCTCTGCAAGGATGTACTTAAAAGAAAATCCAGGAATTTTAAGTAGTTATCTCTAATTACATGTGGATCATTTTAAATGAGTAAGACAGTTGACACAATATTATGTCAAGCTCAACATTTGGCTGATGTTTTTTTTTTTTTCTTTCACACCCTGAAATACATCCAGTTGACCAAACAAAGAACTACCAAGACTGTACACACACACACACACACACACACACACACACACACAAAGAAAAAAAAACCCTCTCTATGTTTTCATAAATACTCAGTGCACCACTGCCACCCAGTGGTAAGATGCATCCTTGTATGTCAAAATCTCCAAACCCTACATTGACACAAGGTAATTAAAAAACTAACTGGAAATTAGCTATGCTACTCACCAGTTATTTCAGGGCAATTTAAGACCATACCCATCTCTATGGGTACTTATTTTCCTGAAAGAAATTTCTGAAGAGGTCAATATCAGATAAAGTCAATGCCACATTAGCTAATCCTACAACTAAACCCCACTGCTTCTGAACACATCACAAAACAAAGGAGTATTATTGTCTTATTAATTTTAATACACATTAGCAATTTAAAAAGATTGCCCCAATATTGTGTTATCACCTTCCAGATTCTGATCTTGATTTTTAGTTATGCGTGAAAAGGCATTTAAAAGTGACAACCGTACAAAAAGTGCACATTATATGAAAATCTGAGTTCAATTAAAACCAGCTACTGAATCCCAGCAATTTCCAGATGTCTCTTCTATCTTATCCTTAGAGAATTATATATCACATTAATTGGTATTCTGTCACATAAAAAGACGTCAGCAATGATTAATTGCATCCTTGGTGCTTTTGAGCTAAGCCTTCTTCACCAGAGGGATTCAATCACACCTCATTACCTTCTAGCAGGTACCCCTTTTGGTAAACCTCATAAAACCTCCTACCTTCCTGAACTTCTCCATTTGCTTGTAGAGGTCTGGATCGAGCTCCTGAGACACGTCCTTCATCCATAATAATGCCCCCCTGTATTCTGTCCGACACTGTTCCATGCGGTTCACCGTCAGCCATGTATCTGAGATCGCCCGATGCCGAAAAGTCTCCACTTCTTGGTGAAATCGACACAAAGGATTTCTCAAGGCCAATCTGGGAAAAAAAGAGACAAAGCGACAACCTTGAAACCAAGGCAATCACGAGTTTGAATCCTTGACACTTTGTCTTAAACTTATGAACCTAGAACAGTGCCTGGAAGAGAAGATGCTTCATTAAGATTTGGTGAATAATAGTTAAAATGTATGTGAATCTATGAGTTGGCCAGGGACGACCACCAGTGTTCCACACTTCAGTTTGCTGGGACTAATGTGGACCATTGGGAAACACCTCTCTCAGTGTTGCTGGGGGTGGCCTCAAGCTTGGGCAGTGTTCCTTTGAAGTTGGAACCAATCCTGCATCAATGATGGACAGTCAAGGCATGCCATTTCCATTCCAATCTTGGTCACTCCCTGTCTCCTGATCCCCTAAAGGTGGGCTCCTTGAAGATACTGTATGTGACCAGGGCCATTTTGATTACTTTTCAGGAGCCGGGGCATGTGCTGCTTGCTCCAGGAGAAATGAAGCATGAACTGAAGCATTTTCAGGTGGTTAGGAGAGATAAGCACATTTATTGAGGCTCTACTACAGAGATAGGGTATATAATTTAATTCTTGTAAAAAAGAAAAACCTCTCCAAACTTAAAAGATATACATCAGAAATGTATATTATATGAATGAAAAATTATTATAATATGAGCCGAGCACACTGTCATTTATTCAGAAAAAAAAAACATTTGCGATATATCAAACTCTAAGTACAATATTTACTTTGGGTAGAAAATATTGCTTCTTTCATATTCCTACCCAAAATGAGCAGTGTCAGATGAATTACACTTTTAAAATACATTCTTTTCCAGAAAGATTCAGGGCACAGGTGCAAAATATAAAAATGAGATGAATATTTCAATTTCAATTTAAATGCAAACTCAGGGAACAATGGTGCCAGGGAGCTGAGGGAAACTCATGGAGGCTCCCTGAGTGTCTGCAATGCCACCTTACGTGTGCAGACCTGAAAGAGTATGAATGGTTCAATAAGAAAAAAAAAATCCCCTTTGCTTTTTCCTCTTGTCTGTAATGTTTAAAATATTGAGAACTTCTAGAAAAATAACTTGCCCACATTGTCCTACCTAGACATTGGAAATTTTTTCAAATACATATTGTTACCCCATCGAGGAAACTTGTGCTCTATCCTATTGGTTTAAATTTAATATTCACCTTTCATCAAACAGAATGAGCCATTGCAGCAATGACTAGCAAATAAGTCAGTTAAACAAACACTGGTGTGAAGGTTTGTATAATTGAAGGCTTCTATGAAAAGTTGTAAACAGTCCTCAGATGTCTCCCTGAGTATCGTATTCATTTCTGGACTCCTTTTTCTCTTCCCTTGGATTTCAACTATTTTCCTAAACTGGCTGTAAAAAGGTCTTGTGAATGAACTATTCTTGATTTTTTGCACTACTGTAAAATTGGACAGATACATTTAAAGTTGTAATAGCTTGGTAATAAAAAAGAAAAAGGCATGCTAGGCCCAGTGCCACATGCCTCTAATCCCAGTTGCTCAGGAAGCTGAGGCAGGAGAATCTCAAGTGTGAGGCCAGTCTCAGCAACTTAGTGAGACCCTGTTTCAAAATAAAAAATAAAAAGACCAAGGGTGTAGCTTACTGGTTGAGAGTCCCTGGGTTTAATCTCCAGTGCTGGAGGAAAAGAAGGCATATAAACTCACCCCATATTTTTTTCTTGTAACTTACTCCATATAAAATCAGAAGGGTGAAAAACCAATCACTGTGGTATGAGAGACTAGATCACGACTCAAAATAAATAGAAAATATCAAGATTCAGTAACGGATTGGTCCACATTTTCATTCAGGAAAATCCATCCAAGTGTAATAATAAAATACCTAAAGGTCTACTCTAAGGACAGTTATCCTTTAGCAGGAAAAGGTGGAAATGACCAAAGAAATGCACAGCAGGGCCCAGGTTAAATGTATACCCAGCATATGTTTATTCACACATACTCAATTAGTGGAATGCTAAGGTGTGGCTGTTTTAAGATGTACACACTGAAATTTAAAATGATAGCATATTTGACGTTAAAAAATCAATTTGCTAAATAACCTATATACAATAAGATGCAAACACTAGAAATTATGATATCAGCTATCTGTGTTGGAATATATTCCTGCATACCCTAAATCATGTTTAGGACTGAGAATTCAAAGTCAGGAGAGTTACATTTAATCCTCCTGTTTCCTTCATGTTTAGGAGAACTAGTTGGGATTTCATGTGCCTGGCAACAGTTGAGTGTCAGGAAACCAGAGCCAGTGTGCAGGCCACCTTCCAAATGGTAAAGCTGGTCATACCTCATTAAGTTATGGACACAGCACAGTTTGCTAACACACAGTACTTATAATTTCAATACCACTCGCATTGTTTTTGTTGGTTTCTTTTACTGTTTGTGTTTGTATCTGAAGCTTAGGTTACATAAACTTAAGGCCTTATATTTGTGCTCTGTGAGATCATCTGGTACATAATTATGAAAGGGTATATACTGGATAGTCATATAATAGAATAATTAACAATGTTATCAGTAATAATAACCCTTGCATTGTGTTCTGGGATTTGGCTTTGTTTTCCATAAAATAGATGCTATTCATAAGAATTTCTTCTTATTAGTGATAGTACATGTTCAACATATGAGAATTTATGAAAGACATTTTAGGAATTATTTATCCTCCTAAGATTGGAGAAGCTCATATGTATACAGAAAGCATCTATCAAGGGGTTCTATCCCCATTAGTAAAATTGATTTTAATTTTCTCCTTTTGTTTTGTCTGTTTTTAAATTTTTCTAAAATGAGTATGTATAGTTTTTACAAGGACAATAATTACTATAAATAAGTATGATAGGTGCATTTCAAGGTTACAAATAAGTATCTTTCTTGGAAACCTAGGGTAGAGAACTGTTGGAAATGGTTTCGTTCAACTATGAGAGTTGGCATGGTCCACACAGTCAGGGTCCAAATGTCATTAGGAAGAACCCAAATCTCTAGGAATGGGATCACTAAAAACTTGACACAGTTGGTTTCTTTTCTACTCCATCTTGGATTTTCATAGGAACACCCATGCATATATCAATGTGTGTATATATATATCAATGGGAGGGAGAATGAGAGGGAAAATTAATAGGAGAAGAAAATATTGGACAATTTGTGTAAGTAAAATTTCTACAGCCTAAATATTTTGGAAATTACCTCCAAGCTTTACTTAGATGTGATTCTGCCAAATATTAGTGGATGACAGTTTGGGGGCTTGTTAGTTACTGGAGGAGTATGAGAGAAACAGTGTCCTTTTCTCAGGCACAAGGAGCAACTGTGTGCTGGGGCTCCTGCTTATTTAATACTGACCATAAAAATGAGTCCTGGTTGTATTAAAAAAAATGCCAGTGATCACTTACAGTTTTCTCTGTACTGGAGCTTCTCAAACTTGAATGTACATCAAAATCAACAGGGAACCTTGTTAAAATGCAAATTTCAGAGTCAGCAGATCTGGGGGGGTGGGGTCCTGTTTCTGCATTTCTAACAAGCTCCCAGGCGATGTTGCTGCTGCTGCTGGCCCAGGGTCTGGGCAGTGTGGTCCAGGGCATCCTGAACAACACCCCTCTGCAGTTAATTGGCCCACAGAGAGCAGGAAGGAAACCCTTCAAGCTGGTCTCATTAGGCTCCTGCTTTAATCAGCTGCTGGAAGGAGAAGCAGACTGATCGTTATGAGCAACGTTGAAGGTCAAATATAAGCCTAGGACAGCACTCACAGTGATTGGCACCTAGAATGCCCCCTATAGGCCCGGAGAAATATGAAAAAATATTTAAAAATGAACAAGAAGGGAAAAAAGAGGTATCCTACATGTTATTTTATTCATAGAGTTAAGAAGAAATCAAGTAAACAGAGTAGCTCCTCAATCGCAGGCAAAATCTTTCTAAAGACAGCGAAATTCCCCTGCATGAGTAGGTGATTCCCAGGTTCTCTTCAGATCCCCCAAAACAGAGCCCCAATAAAGGTCACACACCTTTGCTGGGAAGAAAAACAGAGGGCCTTTCCTGTGGCTTGCATCATTTTTCCTGCTCTGGTTTTATCTTGGAAGCCTTGAGATCGGAGAAATTTTCCCAGTTCATTTTCTTCTTGAGACAAGACTGATGAAGAAAAGACAGAAAGGAGCCATGAACAATGAGCATTTTTATTACAAAGAAAACGAGAGAGACGAATCACAAGGTCCCCTCTCTCCCAGAGGCAAAGATGAGATGAAATTAAATCCAAGTGGCAGGCTTCAAGGTGAGTTCTCCCCACCTCCCCCACCCTGCCATTTAATGTTCATGCTGTTCTTCCACGTACAATACGAGAGATCAAATTCACTTGAATACATCTGTCAGTGAGTTTGGTGCCTGTAATCAGAACCAGAAAATGACCTCTGTACTGAAAAGCCAGCCCATAATGTGCTGCTTCCAGCTGAAATGAAGGAGTTGGGTTTGTCAAGTATGACGGTGGGAATCTTTTGTGGCTCCTAGAATTCTGTGCTAGTGGCCTCCTATTATTCTATCTGGCTGGTTTTTTGATCTGTGCCTCCTGAGTTACATTCTACTCATTGTAAAGCAACTCAAATATCTCACTCATGACACAGGTTTTGGGTAGGAGGTGGGGGTGGGAATTGAGGCTGGGTAGGCCATCAGGTTGATCATTTGATGGATTTTAAAATACATATGCTGGAACTGGCTCTGAATTGGTTCTGCCTGATCTTGGTCTCCTTTTTAAATACAACTGCAGATGAGACTACTGGTAAGTGATCTGTTACAAGCTTTCTACAGATTGATTTGGATGTAGATATAGTCATAGAATTGCACCATTTTTGACACTGCGCTTCTACTGTTAGGGTGTTAGAACATCCTAAGGAGGTAGTCCAGGGGGCACAAAAATAATCAGCATGATTATTTATTATGGTGAAAAACTCTTGCTTCCTATTCTAGGGACTAATTTGGTAAAATACAGAGCATCCACATAATAGAGTAAAGGAGACCCAAATGACACCGAGCTTCCCAGAATTTTTGTTTGTTTGTTTTTTCTCTTTTTCTAAACACAGCATTTACTATCAACATACTTTGAATAATACTCTTGTCCTCATTTCTGTACTGATACATTTCCACACCATTCGCATCTCAAACTGCTTTTAAAATGCTGCTAGGATTCTTGTCTATTTCCATGAGCCATACAGATTTCTTTGAGAATGCACCCCATTCCTAAAAATCTCTCCAACAATAATGTAGAGGTTTGTTCAGGACCCATGAATACAAAGATAACAGCTAAACTCACTACAGCTTCCTTCTTAATCTGTGACTATAGTTCACTCTAACAGTCCCCTGGTAGGGCCCCATGGAAATGAGGCTTCAGAATCCATTTTTCCTGAGAGGTAAAAGATGTCCCTCCTTCCTACTTTTGTCTCTCAAAAATCATGCTCACAGATCAAAGCAGGAAGGCTACTTCCTCTGTCAAGTAGTGGATTCCTATTTCTCTGGACAGCAGTGCCTGCTGGGCACGTGTGTTAGCATTTACTGTGGTAGGACCCATGTCAGAGTGTGCATGGGTGAGCATGTGACCTTCCTATGAGACTAGGCTTTCCAGGGCAGGGACCTCGTCTAAACTTTATATTTCCCAGTCCAAATATGAAGCTTTATAGTCATGGCAGTAATTAAATGTTTGTGAGGTTGAACTAACTATAATTTTTGCTTTGTTATCCCTGTACATTTTATTTTAAGTTAAAAGCTTATTTCATATTTATGCCATGGTCCTAGGTACCTTAAAAATTCCTGTAAAAAGTGTTATTATTGTTGTTGTTTTTAATATCTTCCATTTTTCCTCTCCACTGTTTTTTGTATTAATCATTCAATTCCACAATGAATCTTTCTCTATGAAGAGCAATTTCCCACTTTTGCTCCTAAGATCATAAGGCTACTGTCACTTTTTTTTTTTTTAATTTGAAGCCTCAACTCATGTATGAATGAACACATTTAGTTTAGGGTCAGGAAGAAACCAGTTCATGGTACCTGGATGATTACACGGCTGATGAAATGTACTCTTTCCTAAAAAAAAAAAAAAAAAAAATCTAGGTAGATTGAAGCTTTTAAAAATAATTTTCTGGTCATTTTATACATGGGAGGATTAAACTTGGTGGCAAACAAATTTCATTTAAGTGCTGACTTTGATTAATTGGCAGTGCTTCTGAGAGAGGTGAAAGGAGGTTTGAGCTCCATGGGGCTCAAGGTTGGAATTTTCCAATTAGTGATGGCCATTGTTTAATTTAAACAATTCAAATACTAAAATTAATTGGTAGAAGTTTAAATTCAGGTGCAACTTATATATCAGATAACTCAAAAATTTCTTCTTGTACAAAGTTTTCAATTAACTGGGGCTTAAAAATTCAAATAAAAACCTATCCACATTTAATTGCTAATTAGATTTTCAGATATATTCTCTCAAAATGCAACTGAAGAACTATGAAACCAATTAGCTTGACAGCATTAACTCACTTAGCCCAGATTTATGGATAATTCAGTACGTACTAGACACTTTTCTGCCCCTGGGAATACAGTGATGAGCAAGACACATGAGGTTCCCTGCTCTTACAGAGCTAATATTCAAGCAGCATGTGATAGAAAAACAAAACATACATAATCACAAATACAAAACAAAAAGAAAAATACAAAAAGAGAGATGGGGAATAAGAGGTAGTGGAAGCTGTCTTTCACTGGGTGGTTAGGAGAGGCATCTTGAAATAGGACCATTAAGCTCAGTTATAAATGACAAGAAGGGGCTGCTCTAGATACCATTAGGGCAGAGCCATGCCAAGAAGGGGAACAAGTTCAAGGCTTCAGATACCAGGTGGGGAAAGGTGGCTGGAGAGGTGTGTCCTGTTTATCAGCCATGGTAGGGGAGTTTGGATTCTACTTTAAGTACTACTGGATGCTTTTAAAAGGTAGGGAGCAATAGAATCCAATTTATGTTATGTTTAGACCTTTATGAAACCTCTTATGTTGAAATAATTTTAGACTTATAGAAAAATTATGTATAGTATACAGAATTCCTATATGCCCTTCCTCAACTTCCCCTAATATTATATCTTATATGACTGTGACACAAAGATCAAACTAGGAAATTAACATTGGAATAATACTACCAATGAAACCACAGGCTTCTTAAATTTTTTTTTTTTACCAGTTTTCCCAGGAATGCCCTTTTTCTGTTCCAGCATGGAGATATCAAGTGTCCTTCAATCTGATAATTCCTTTATCTTTCTTGTCTTTCAAGACTTTGATGCTTTTTCCCATTTCAGCTTTCCTGAAATATTTTTTTTTTCAAATATTTATTTATTTATTTTTAGGTGAAGATGGATACAATACAATGCCTTTATTTTTATGTGGTGCTGAGGATTGAACCCGGGTCCCGCTCAGCCACAATCCCAGCCTCAACTTTCCTGACATATTTTTTAATGTTGTTCAATTTAGCTTGGTCTGATTTCTCGTGATTAGACTGGGGTTATGGACTTGAGGGAAGGATATAGAGGTAAAGAGCCACTCTTAGTGGATGGTATCAGGTTTACATAACAACATGTATTATCACTGAGGATGTTGACTTCTGTCACTTGGTTAAAGTAAGTATCTGTTGGGTTTCTTCACTGTAAAGTTACATTTTTTTTCCTTTTGCAATTATTATTTTGTAATTTTTTTTATAACTTTGAGGAAAGAGTACACAAAACTTTCTTTCCACAAACTTACTTTCACTAATTGTGACACTCTTCAGTGACTGCTGACCTGCCATGATTCTCACTGTGGTGTTTACTTAATGGTGATTTTGTAGTATTTTTTCTATATATATTTATTAACTGGAAGTATTTTATAAGGCCCTTTCTTACCTGTCTGTCCATCCATCTACCTCCAGATAGACGTAATGGGTAATCATTTTTTTCCCATGTGTTATATTTCAACAATATCATTGTTTATCTTGATACTTAAATTGTACCAGCTTGGACCATAGGCTTTCTGCTATGCCCTTTCGCCCTTTTTTCAAAAACTTTCTTGTATGTTGGCCATTATAAAATATTCCAGGCTCATTTTGAACTTTCCCTTCCGCAGCCCTGAAATCAATCATTTCTTCAAGAAGCACTGCTTTTATGAATAAGGGTGTTTAGAAACCAAGAACTGTGTGTTGGTGTGTTCACTACTACAGGGCATTAGTACTTTGAGGTATTGTCAGCAAAGGCAGGAAATATATGAATGCACACGAACCCATGTATACTCACTCATCTGTATTCATTTCTGAATCTCTCTATCTGTATCTATGTTAATAACAAAGACTTCATATGACACCTCTGATTCCAGCCCAATACCTCATGTTTATTCTAGCCTTCTCCCTTTATTCACAACTTCTTTCTACTATAGGCAGTAAGAACCCAGGCTTTCATTATCTGTAATGTATTTACTTATTTGTTTTACCTCAGTATACACACACAGTTTCAGAATTGCTAACTGTTACCCCTATAAGAAATAAATATATTAACAAAAGCAGTTTCCATGTACACTCTGTGTTTAGGTTTAGAATCCTGTAAAAAATACTATTGCCCAAAATTACTAAGGTTAATTCTTTTCTTCTCCACTCTAGTCAGTGTGGTGATGCTATTCATTTTTAATGCAATTCAATTCGTTTGTTGCTGCTCGCATTCCATTTTGGAGCCTCCCAGGTCCTGGCTGGTCTTAAGCATGTTTTGAGTATGTGAAACACCACTAAGGTTGCTAGATACAGCTCCCTCTTCACCCTTCCACCCCATTCTCATCCCTACTTCTTTCCAACACTTTCCTACCCACCCCCAGTCTCTTTAATTTCTGGTTTATCTTTCCTGAAATTCTTTAGCATGATAAGAAGACTCTGTGTGTGTGTGTGTGTGTGTACTTTTCATTCTTTACATTTCTATTTTATTATACCCCCCTTCTTTCTTGCTGAAGGGTATCATACAATCAATATGCATTTGTGCTTGGCTCCTTTCATTTAAAATTATACCCTTAAAATTACTTCATATCATCAGTTCATAGAGATTTTCCTCATTTCTTTTCTTTGACAGCTGCATAGCAACACCCTCACATTAGCTACCCTATTTTTAGTCCTCCATCCAAGTCGGGATTCCTTTCCATCCTAGCAGTGCAGAACTCCTCCTTCTCATCCCCACTGTGATGGCATGGCTCACAGGAGCTTAGTGGGCAGACACAAAGGGCTCATCCACGACCCACAGCCAAGGTCTGCCCTGGACTCCTTCAAGGGTGGGCTCACTGTTGCAGCCCCTTACAAGATAATCATGAGATTTTATAGTGTTCAATCCTAATTCTATTAATTAATCTGAGATAGTTCAGGGGAAAGGTCTTCCCAGGTGTTCTACTAGGAACATTCAAATAGATGGTAAGCATAATTTCTATTGAGAGAATCACTGTTTATATAGAATCTGCAAGCACCCATCTTTTCTTCCCTTATGACTATATCTATATATATATCTATATATCTATATCTATATCTATATCTCTCTCTCTCTCTCTCTCTCTCTCTCTCTATATATATATATATATATATATATATATATAGCAACTGACTTCATGTGACTCACTTAATATAAAACAATCACAATTTTATAAATATCTTTTGTTTTCTACTGAGGAGAAAATGATCCATTTCATGCTAAGTATGAAGAGCATGGTAGGTAGAGTAAAAGCGATTTTGACCAATAATTCTCCGAACTTGGGGTTTAAACAAAGGAATGATCTGGTCTGGTTTAAAAGTGTACTCTGATTGCAGTGTAGACAACAGGCTAGTGGAGGCAGAAGTGTAGACAAGGGGATCAGATAGGAAGCTGATTTAGCAAACCAAGTAGGGGAGTGATGGTGGGGCCTAACTAGGGTAGTGGCAGAGAAGACAGAAGAGGAGGGCAAAGCTGAAAGCTTTTTAAGAGGCAAATCAGGCCAGCACTGAGAATGACTAAATGTGGGACAGGGAGATGTGAGGGCCGTCCGCATGTACCTCAGTTTCCTCATAGCTCAAGATCCTGGAGTTAGAGCCCTGGAGAGGTCTTAGCCCAAACACTTAGTAAATATTAACAAAGATAATTTATATAATTCTTCCTCTAAGTCCTATGAATTTTGGGCTTTCCCCAAACAGTTCCTCAATGAAACATTACTAATGTAGAAAAACAACTGATCGCTAACTTGTGATTATAGAAAAGGGCTTTGGCAGAGCAGTCAGAAATAAAATGACACACTGTATTCTAGTCTTAGAAATATAGAAATTATACTATTATATTTATTATGATTTAAAATAAAGTTTAAAGACATATCAGCATACAACTTGATATTTAGTATTTCAGGGATAACTTTGTTGCGAATGCTTTTAAGACAGGATGACTGTGTGAAACTCTCATTCCAGCCCAATACCTTATGTCTGACATGAGAAATGTTCTTGAGGACATACTGTCAACAAAATATCACCAGTGAATTAACTGTATGTGCCTTCTATCTCTACCTGACTTCTTTAAAAGGGACAACACTGGATATAAAAGAGCCAGGGCAATCAAATAAAAATAACCCCAATTTAAAAGCCCAAGACATAAAACTAAGAAAACTATTTTATACTTGGGAAAATAAATGGTATGTCTAAATCCATGGGACATCCAATACAAAATTCTCCTAGTATGATTCTTACTTTGAAAGATAAACAACCTATGTAGTTTAGGTAAACCTTTGTGGCTTAAACAAATAAATACCCATAAAGAGTTCCTTAAACATGTTAAATGATATATGAAGGTGAAACATACTGCTTTTTCTTAGGGTCTATCTGTCACACTTAAGATATACTTACAACATATCCTCTTTTGATAGAGTACAATTGCTTTAGATAAATCCAAACAGGTTCTCTGAATTGAGTGAAACAACTGTAATAAAAAAAGAGAATAGAATAAAACAGATAGCAGTGAAATAAAAAATAATTACACTGAACAAAACCATAGTGTATAAATTACCCACTAAAAACAAGATAACATGTCTGTCTAAGTGTGTTTGGTGTTATGTAGAGTATCATATAGAGACTGTGACCAGCACCATTAAATATGTTCTTATTTTCCTTTACTTATTGGAATTCATCATCTCTGTGATCTAAATTAAGATCTACAGCAACAATTATTTCCTCCAGACTATTGAAATAATAGCCGAAAACAGAAAACTAAGTGAAGGGCCCAATTAGAGGAGTTGGTAAACCAGAGACCCAATATTCATTCATAACCTAATTTATTCCCTTCACCATTTGCTGTCTTTTTTTTTAATGGAAGATTTGTCAAGTAAACATTATATTTAAAAGATGACGTCAACTTGTTTTATGATTTTAATGTATTTTATGGCAAGCTTAAAAAACTGGATAAAGCAAACAAAAATCAATCATCTGAGTGTCCTGTCTGTTTGGAAGGCATCTGGTAAAAATGATGTTTAGTTAGGAGCAAACATCACTACTTATTTTCCTAATGATTTCATAAAATATACACAGTAAGACAACCTAATGCCATTGCTATGGTCATATTAGAGAAAACTGGGGGAAAGGCAAGCAGGAATGAATTGTGGAGAATCTAACTGGATTTTACTCAGGGGGGGTTCTCAGTTTTTGCTTCAGAAACCAAGATAGCTCAAGGAAAGACAGAAGAGATAGTAGGGTTTGAATCTTAAATGTTCCCCCAGAGGCCCATCTGCTAACAGCTTCGTCTCCAACCTGTGGTGCTATTGGGAGTTGATGGGACCAAGCAGAAGGCATGGGCGGAGGGGGGGGGGGGCACGTTCCCTTGAGAGAGATAAGGAACTGCAGCCTCTTCCCCACTGTCTTTGCTTCCTGGCTGTCCTAAGGAACACATTTCCTCTATTACACCACAGCCTCCAAAGTAATGGGGCCAAGTGACCATGGAATGAACCCTCTATAACTGAAGCAAAATAAAAATTTTCCTGTTTTTAACTTGATTTATCTCACGTATTTGTTACAGTGACAGAAAGCAAACTAACATAACATACTTCACACTTTCTTTACCTCTGACCACAGACTCAAGAGACCTGGGCTGGGAACAATTAGAAAACCTGGCAGACAAACATATTGCCTTGCAGAGTCACCCAGTGAGGCCAGGCAAGGTTTTCTTTTTTCCTCTCTTCCTACTTAACTGGCCACATTGTAGAAATTATGTTACAAAGCACTTCAATATTTGAGTGAAAACAGATGATCTGCTTCATTATAAATTTGACCAAATTATCTAATAAAAATGGATGCATGCACATGTACATGAAAGATTAAAACCATTCCTAGGAATACTTAATATAATAAAACATGGTCATGAAGAATATAAATATATGAGTTTACTAAATTGCATCCTCAACCTGTTTATAGATATGAAAAAAAAATCCTATACCATAAAACAAAACAGAAAACTGGCAGTCTGAATCCGTCCCTTAGCAAATGCTTGATGTCAGTAGTCTGGGCCACAGACCACCAGAAAAGGACCAAGTTGGTTCTTTTTCTCATTCTTGAATATAGCGGCTAAGGGATGTTCTGTTTTGACTGTTCATTATTTAAAAATTAAGATAGAAGTTGAATGCAATAAAATGCACAGTTCTTTAATGTTCAGTTGTATGAGTTTTTATTATTATAAACATTTGTGTAATCATGTCCAAAGCAAGATAACATTTCCCATCCATATTGTCCACTGTACTCTGGCAGCCATTAAAAACTTCTATCACCATAGATTCTTTTTTGTCCTTGTACTAAGGACTTGCTTTTGAGAAAATAATTTTAATATCAAGCAATGTGGATAAATGTTAAACTTAGCACAACATTTCTATATTAACTTCTCAATGAATTGCAATAGTATCTGACCTTCATTAAAATTTGGCCCACAAGTTTTCTGAGCCAGCAAGGTCTTGGTTCATAAGCAAGGCTTCTATGGATAACTCAGTATAAAAAACATGTCATAATGATTTGCATATCATTTTTATATTTTATTGATGGAATCAATTCTCTCTATAACCATTAACATCAGTATGAACATTTCTGCAGAAACTTCTGTCATGGGTAAAATTACTAGTCACTGCTAACTACTTTGAAAGTCACATGTTAGGACAGCAGTTATTTGGAATAAAGTACAGTGGTTTGTTAAAAGTGTTGTGGAAAAAATCAACATATAAATATAATATTTAATATAGTAGTAATTAGCATCTTTCTTTTTGAATGATTGATTTGTATTTACTAGGTTGTTAAAAAGGAAAAAGCTATGAATTATGAAAAGCATTTATAACTTATAACAATTTACCCTGAATTTATAATATAAAAATCAGAACATGTTTCCTGATTCTACTTTTTTTTTCCAATGTAGGAATATCCTTTAGAAAATCCTTGTCAACCCAGCTTCTTTGCAGAATTTCCACTTACAGAAGGAGAGACAGGGCTGATATTAATTGCACCAACATGTACAGGTATTCATTTAGTACCTGTTGAATGTGTACTGTGAGACTGGTGGGGATAAAGTGGTAGGCTAGCACGGACTTTAGCCTTTTACTGGGGATAAGGCAGGCAAACAAACCAATACCTGAGATAATTCCATGAGAGATGAGACCCTGAGCAAATAAAACAAGGCCATATGTGAGACAGAACAGTGGGTGGAGTGCATGAGGAACAGGGGTGGATCTCAGTGACTTTAAACAGCATATTCAAGTTCAGGTGACCTTTAGGCCGAGATTGGAACTATGAGGAGGAGCCATTCAAGGGAAGGTTTGGGGAAAGAGTATCCAGGCAGACCACAGGAAATATTTTGATAAGCTTGAACTTGCTTGATTGTGGCCTGAGAAGTGAGAAAAGGCCATTATGCCTGGAGGGTGGTGTGGGCAGTGTCATTGGTATGGGAGAGAATTCTTAGGACAGGGAGGCAGAGCCAGGTGTGTCAGGAGCTTTGTTAGGTTCCAGAGATAATGTACAGAAGGCATTCTGAATAGTCCCTGGGACATAATAAGAACTAAGTAAACATAAGTTATCACTCTACTTATTACCTAATTTAATTTTCATAATAACTGTAAGTAAATATTTATTCTTGCCTCCATTTCAAGCACTAAAAAAACAAGGATAAGAGAAATTTTTTTAGGTCGTTCTCCCCAGGTCACAAAAGCTGGCAGGTACAACTGTAGCCATATTGATTGGACAGGGAATTCATAGTCTCAAAGTCAGCCCATCTCTCACTGGGCAGCCTACATTTCAGAAAGCTCTGCCTGAGTCTAGGTCTATCCTCAGATGAACGGAAACCCTCTTCCGCATAACAGACCTTCCTATGTAATTGACAACTTTAAGTCTCCCTTTAACCCTCTCTGTTTTGGGATAACCATGGTTTCTACCACCCTAGCCACCCTTCTGGGAAATTTGGAGCTCTTTTTTTAGTTCCATTAAATAATGTTAGATTCATTAACTTTAGTTTGCACATTAAATCCAGAGAACCTGTTGAATCCTTATCAGACCATGTATTGTATTACTCCTTTTGACGCCCTGTCACTCACAGAAATGTTATGGTTTCAAAGTTGTAATCTAAACCATTGGCAAAAGTGTCCAGCAAGACAGTTAGTGGGCCTTCTACTAGTTATATTAATACTCTTGATCAACCAGGTAGGAATTCAGTTTGCTATATTACTAACTAGTCAAAGTATCTGCTTGGTTAATTCTTTCTAGAATTTTCCAGGGTTTAATACCATCTTATTAGGCTCTACTTTCCAGGTTATTTTACCCATGTCCTCTTAATTTTATTATTATTTTTAAATGTAAACATCTGCTGGACCCTTAGTTTTTTGAACCCTCCCCAATTCTGACTCCTCAGCTATCAATAGCAGCAACTCTTTGTAATAATTTTGACAGTAAACATTTATTGGGAATTTACCACATGCCATGCATTCCAACTAAGAGTTTGAAAAACAAATTAAGGCATGCTGGTGGCTATAGGAAAATTTGTTGATTTTAACAAAATGTACTGGGTATAATTATTTGATTCTAGATCTTCCTGATTTTCAAATATAAAGCACACCTAGGCCTGCCCGGGTGAAGTGATTCTCACCTCTAGCTTGGCATCCAGGTCTGCATCAGAGGCGACAACATGTTCATCTTCCTTCTTCCCCGTGGCTTTAATGAAGGCCTGCTTCGTTTCCCAGTACTTCTGTTGCATCTTATTGACAACTGACTTATCTTGAGTATATCGATCCTGTAAGTCCCAGGAATAACTGCTGAAAACATATAAAGAGCTATTTTATTCAATACTTTCATAAAGATTTAAGATATTATAGCATGAAAAATCTATCTAGATATGGTGTTCTAATATACATTGACATTTACAACATTCATAAACATGTAAGTACTTTCTTATATAGATATTACACCAAGAACATTAAATCAATTCTTTCTAACCTGCTCCAAAATTGCATAAGAGTGAGGAAATTTAGAATCATTTGTAGGAAGTCAAGAAACTACATCTTCAGGAGAATTTAGATATCAATAAGTGGACACACTCCTTTTAGAGGTGGAGAAAGTAAGGCCAAGAAGGCCAGATGACTGGCTCCAGGCACCACGGGGAATCAGGGATGAAGGAAGATACCATGACACTCTCTCCATCCCACTGTACGGAATGAAGCGATGGCAAAGTAGAAAGAGGCTGAAAAACAACACACTTAACATCTGTTAAAGAAGAATCTAAAATAATCAAACTCAGAACTAGGAAGTAGAATGGTGGTTAAGGCCGAGGGAAAAAAAAAGATAAACTGCTAATCAACATGCATAAAACTTTCATTTATGCAAGATGAGTAAGTTCAACAGATCTGCTGTATGATACTGCGCCTATAATTAACAATACTGTATTGTACACTTTGAACTTTTCTAAGAAGTAGGTCTTATGTTAGTTGTTCTTACCACAGTAAAGTAAACTAATGGGGCTGGGCATATGGCTCAGGGGTAGAGTGTCTGCCTTTCATGAATATGGCCCTGGGTTGGATCCCCAGTACCAAAAAATAAAATAAAAAAAAATTTAAAATATGTTACTGATTTCTAATGTCATAAACTACAAATTTTTCAAATAATTGCTTAAAATACAGATAGAAAGCCATTGTTCAGGAAGGTCATAAAGCAAATCAAAAAGAATATAAAGAAAAAACTAGAAACAAACTTAGAATGAAATGGGATTCCTTCAATGAAAGCAATGAGTACACCAAATGCTGGCGCAAAGTTTCCTGTTGGTGCTCCATCTTTCCCCCTGCTCTGTGTTCCTCCTATGTCTAAAGTTCCTGTTCCTAACTGCCACACAGGGCCCCTGACAACTTCCCTCTGCTGATATGTAACTTCTTTGACCCCAGCTCTAGATATGCCAGCTTATGTCCTGTGAGCTGCTTCATAGAATTAGATCAAAATACCAGAATCTCAAAGCACAATGATTTATACTCTCCTTCCTTGACATTTTCATTAAATCTATAACTTTTAATTCACATGTCTTAAAAAGTCAGCATTTCAGATGACTTCCTTAACAATAGTTATTGCTGGTAAGAGAAGTAGGTTTATGGAAGACTTTCATGGTGGGCCTTATACCCTTCTGTAGTATTTAAACATTTTATTATGAGTTCACAAATAAGAAAATAAGATAAAAATATGCATAACATTTACGTAAAAGACAATCTGTCTATATAACATGCACATTAAAATATTGTAAGGATTGACCCCAAAGACTGTGGTTATTTCAGGGGAATGGGAGTCTCAAGAATAGGGCATAAAATGGATTTAATTTCATTCTCTCTCTCTCTCTCCAGCCATCATATTAACAACAACAACACAAAAGTTTTATTTTGGCATGTATAAAGATATGAATTGGCATGAATATACTTTGTGTACAACTAGAGATATGAAAAATTGTGCTCTATATGTATAATAAGAATTAGTAATGCATTCTGCTGTCATATATAAATAAAGAATTAATTTAAAAATTTTATTTTGGAACAAAAAAGGAGGGGAAAGAGATCTAATGAATACCCACCAGCCTCTACCACTCAAAAAAAGAAGAATCTCAAATTTCAAAAGTTTAAGAATCTTGCTCAAAATCACCCAGGATTAAAATCCAGATGTTTTCTTCCACAGTTCAGTCATTTAGATGTACTCCGTAGCCCTTGTATTTTAGCAGCAAGCTCTAAAGTATAGTAAGCAGGAGAGTTTGGGAGGGCCTACTTCTTGGGGCTTTCCCATCTGCCTTAGGTGAGTAACTATTTGCCCAAGACTCCTGCCAGGATATGGCAGCCACTAAGAGAGTCACAAGATGGAACCAGCCCATGATCATGAGGCAAGGTAAGACAGAGAAAAAGAAGTCTGACAATTCTTAGATGACTGTCAAATGGGGATACTTAATTGCTTTTAAAAAATAATTACATTTTAAGATATGCAAAAGTTCTTTGAAGTTTGACATTGATGTTACCAAGGACTTGGGCCTAATTTCTTATCTAATGAGAAAGGAGGGATTAAAAAGTGTATTTCTTTATAATTAATTGTATATTTGAAAAATAAAATGGAATTCATTCTCATGATACAAATTAAAGAAGGTACAACGACAAAAATCTGCTTGCTGGTGGAGTCACAAGTACAAAAGGTTTAGAAGCACTGCATAAAGGGCTCTAGAACTTCCCATGGGTTTAATATGCTATTTCTATATAATATGTTATTTCTACATAAATGAAAGAGCTAGCTTGGTTACCACATCTGTTCTATTCAGCATCATACACTTCAACCATGACTGGCTTCTGAATGTTCATGAAGGTTGCAGTTAGTAAGTCTGAATAGTGTGTGACAGCAGAACCATACTTTATTTCATAGATACCCTACATAACATTCCTTATGCCTTCCAAAGGTGGAAGGTATACATAAGATAGTAATAAAAATGCATCAACCTGGAAAGGTTATTTACTGCTAATGTGTCTCAATTGTTCCATTCAATAGACATTTGCTGAGCATGAACTATGTGATTTCTACTTTATTAGCTTATCCCAATTTAGTTAAGACAACACACTACTTACCATTTGTGTCCTGACATGTTTTCTTCTTCTTCTTTTTCTACTGTTGTTGATGCGGGGAGAAGGGGCAGGGAAAAAGCATGAGGGGATACGTTATATTAAACCTGAAATAAAACAAACCTGAAATAAAACAAACGTGTTTAACAGTTACACATTATGTTACAATTAAACATTAATGTGACACATAAAAAATGTCAACCCAAGCCATTTCTGGTTGTATTTTAGGGCCAAACACTATTCCATAGTAATGCTGCATATGAGTGTGGAGAATGGCTCAGCTAAATTACACTGGAAGAAATATCCCAAATGGAGCTTAAGAAATGAACAGGCAATATACTACTACCTATTGTTGACATAATACCAATATTATGTACAATGAGCTGTGTAATAAAACCACCATGGTTTTAATTAGCTTTTAAATTAAATTTATTTTAACTGACATAGAAAACATAAAATTGTACCTATTAATGTGGTAACATGTAATGCTTCCATATAAAGAATTTCTTAGCACTGAAGAACAATACATTCCAGACAGCGGTTGTCTGCAGGGGATGTGATTTAAGTTTCAACATGTTAGGTTCAATGGTGAATTTATTGCATCCAGATTTGAAATATTTCATATTCAATGTTTTAAAGAAATGAACCAGCACATTGCAAAAACAAAACAAATTAAAAAAATTTTAAAACCCCCAAACCAAAAGATACCAATGAGAGTTTAAAGGAGGAAGCAATGTGATATTTAGCAGCCCAGCAATGAATTTTCATTTCATTAGTTAATACGGAAGCCACTTCTGGCCTTTGTCCTTACTCTATTTGCTCCCAGCCGGGAAGCTAGCCAGCCCAGGGGCAGAGCCAAGCAGCCCAGCCACGTGAGCAACACCTGCCTATGTAGGTACTGGAAAAAATGGAGAGCTCACTGCCCCAAAGGAGTGGCCTCAGGCTGCCACAGTGAGTGCTCAGCATGTGACCACTTTAGATGCTCCACAAAATCAACCCAATCCTTCTCTGTCTCAGACAGGGTCCTCAAAACCAGTACCCCTAAAAAGATTAGAAATTTCCTAGGCTTTAAAAAAGTGGTTTAGGGAAGTAACTTAAGGTGTTGAAATTCCAGATTTCAGGAAGGGGAGGAGGAGGGTAGAGGAGAAAGAATGTTTAGATGTTTCTGCAATGAGTGCATCCCATAATTGATCTCTGTTCCTCATGCAGGACACTCAGATATTTGGACAAGTGGCTCTGGGGATGACATTCAGCATGAGTGTGCTTTATAGCTTTGCCCTCAGTGTGGCCATGGAGGGACCACAAACTTCCAGTTCTCTCACAACACACACAGCTTGCTTGCAAGTACGCATTTCCTTTAGCTCAAGATTTTCAACAAAATTTCTCACAAAAAGAAGTTGTTCAAAACAAATGAAATTGCCATGGTTTTTCCTAAGTTCCATTTTACCATGAACTACAAGGATAGTTAATGCTTTTTGATTAATGTTTTTATTGTGATAAAAACTTTTCTCTCTTAATTCTTAAGTATACAGGACATTTTTTATTTGTTTGTTTTGGTTACTGGAGATTGAACCCAATGGCACTACATCCCCAGCCCCTTTTTAATTTCTAAATTTTGGAGACAGCCTCTCATTAAGTTGCAAAGGCTGGCCCCAAACTTGGGATCCTCCTGCCTCAGCCTCCCTTCATTAGGATTACAGATGGGTGCCACTGCACCCTGTTCAGTATTGTTCAATATGTGAACATTGCCATACAGTGGATCTCTAAAACTTACTCATCTTGCATGACTAAAACTTTATACCCACCTAATAGCAACTCTTCTGTATCCTTTTTCCAATCCCTGGAAACTCCCTTATTACTTTCTGATTCTATGAGTTGACTACTTTGGATACTACATATAAATGGAATCATGCAGTATTTGTGCCTTTGTGATTGGTTTCTTTCACTTTGCATAACCTTCTTCAAGTTTATCCAGATCGTAACATGTGACTGGATTTCCTCCTTTGGTAAAGCTGGATGGTATTCATTGCATGCAACACATGCTGTCAGTGGTCATCTGGGCTGCTCCCCCATTTAGCTATTATAAATAATGGTGCAATGGTGATGGATGTTATATATCTCTTTAATATATCTTTCTTTTGGATATATGACCAGAAGTGGGATTGGAAGATTGGTAGTTCTATTTTCAATTTTTTGAGGGACTTCCATACAGTTTTCCATAGTGGCTGCACAATTTTACAATCCCACCAACAGCACAGGATGATGCTGTATCTCTACATCGTGTCAATGCTTATCTTCGTTTTCATGTTTTAGTGGTTTCAGTCAGGTGATAGCCTATTATGGTTTTGATTTCCCTGATGATTAGCAATATTGAGTATCTTTTCATATTTGTTGCCAATTTGTTCATTTTCTTTGGAGCAATACCTTTCGAAATCCTTTGCCCATTTAAAAATTGGATTATGTTTTTCTGTTACTGAGTTAAAGAAGTTCTCTCTGTATTCCAGATTTTAACTCCTTATTTAATATATAGTTTGCAAATATTTACTACCATTCTGCAGGCTGCCTTTGATTTTGTCTCTGTTGATTGCTTCAAAGGAATCAACTTTATGATTATTAAAATATCTAACAATTGAAATTTTTTTATGTTAATGACAAAAATTACTGAGAAAACTGCTCACTCTACATAGATTTCCAGGCTATTCCCAGATCATCATGGCTTGTGGCAGTTTTTGCTGACATACTATTTACAAACCACTGGAATCTTCTGGAGTATTACCATGCAGATTTATGATCCCCTTCCCTTCCCTGATGACATACAGTCTCTAGGAATGGGTCTGGGAATCCATGTTTTTGACAAAAATTACAAGTGATTTTTAAGCACATTAAAGCCTAAGAGCCATAGTTAAATGACACACAGGATATGTCCCTTGTTTCTTCAACAAACTGCTGTATTATACGCCACTAGAGTAAGGAGTGTGGATGGCCAAGTCAGGTAAGCTCTCCAGAGCACATGTGAAGGTCTCAGGAGAAGCTAGTGCTCACATCTCTTTTTATACCTGTCCCAACTCCACATTAGAGACATTCTTAAGATAACCAGACCCAATCCATCCCATCTTGCTCTATCACTTTTCAAACCCAACACTGTCAAAATCACTACCTTAAAAATCATCATTGAGGCTGAGGTTGTGGCTCAGTGGTAGAGCACATGAGGCACTGGGCTCAATTCTTAGCACTACATAAAAAAAAAAAAATCAATAAAACAAAGGTCCATCAACATCTAAAAAAATTCAAAAATAATTATAATCCTAAAACACTGATTTCTGTCCAACACTTTGGTTTATCAAACATTCACTGAGCATCTAATAAATCTAGAGTAGACACTGTCTCTGGCCTCAAGGAACTTGTAATCTAGATGCTGTGCTCTGCAGAAAAAACACTATCAACTGAATATGTAATTTTAAATGATCTCAGCTGTGTTCAAAAATGAATAAGAAATAGTGAAATAAATTTTAATATTTTATTTAATTCAGTATATTTAAAACATCTCAACATATAATCATTATTAAAATACTAATAATATGTTTGCATTTGTATATTTGTACCAAATCTGAAATATATTCACTCAGAGTGAATCTCAATTCAGACTTGACATGTTACATATTCAGTAGCTACAAAGGGCTAGTGTGTTAGTCAGGTTTTCGTCACTGAGACCAAAAGACCCAACAAGAACAACTTAGAGGAGGAAAAAATTTATTTTGGCTCACTGTTTCTGAGCTTCAGTCCATGGTCAGCTGACTCCATAGCTCTAAGCCAGAGGTGAGGGAGAAGAACATTGTAGTGGAAGGGAGTGGTACAGGAAAGTTGCTTAGTTTGAAAACCAGGAAGCAGAGAGCTCCATTCATCAGGGACAAAATATAAACCCCAAAGTCACACCCCCAGTGACCTCCTTCCTCCAGTCATACCCTACCTGGCTACAGTTACCACCCAGTTAATCCAGTCCAGTGGATTAATTCACCAATTAGGTTACAGTTCTCATAATTTACTTATTACACCTCTCAACATTCTTGCATTGTCTCTCACATGAGCTTTGAGGAGATACCTTGTGTCCAAAATATAATTTAGTGACTATAGTATTTAGTGAAAAGTTAGTAGTAAAGACAGATGCATAAACATAATTTCTAGAATAAGGAGACCCTGAACATTTGGAAGCAAACTATAATAAGACCTTTATGAATCTCAACATTTAATAAATTTTGCTGTTAAAATATCATTTCCCTGTAAAATGGAGTAAAGTCTATGATTAATACTTCAATTTACAATTCTACAAAGGAATCTTCCTGTTCACCCACCAGGCACTCACAAAACGAGCCCCAAATGAATGGTGTCCTGTCTCAAGCTTCCTGACAGCACAGAGAAGAATGCCTGAAACTGCAGCGGCTGTCTCACCTTGGCAGACAAACAAAGGAGAGCAAGGATCGTTGCTTAGGGACCATGAGCACCCGTGATGAAAGGACGAACCCAGTAACTCAGGAGGCTTAGGCAGGAGGAGTGCAAATTCAAGGCCAGCCTCAGCAACTTAGCCAGGTCCTAAGCAACTTAGCGAGACCCTGTGTCCAATGAAAAAATAAAAAGGGCTTGGATATAGCTCAGTGGTTAAAAGGCACCTGGTTCAATCCCCAGGACCAAAAGACACAAATAAAAGAAAACGCCTGAAGCAACAGTACTGACTCCGTCAGCAGTACTGTCCCCTGTGAATGTCTGTGTTTCACTCTTAATCTGTCTCCTCAAGGAAGACAAAGTGGTTGCACCAATAACAAGAAAGACCTGTAGAAGTCGAGGTCTAAAAGTTAAAAAATCAATGGGAAGTGAAATATCTTATTTTGATACAACCCTGGGAGGGTGGGAACACATTGGTGAGGGGCCAGCTGTGAGTCTGTGACAGCAGTAAAGGGGGAGGGTGTCTTTCTGCTCAGGGTTGGAACCTTCTACTTATGTGACACTAAAATGACCAACCTCATCCCATGAGACTTTCCAGGCTGCATCTCAATGGGGTTGCAATGTGTTCACCTCATGATCCAAGGTCAGGCTTTAAAGCCACAGCTGTTCTCAGCCACACCATCCAGCTGAGAGATCTTGCCCTGAGAGATAACTGAGAACAGGGAAGAGGGATACTGTATTCAGTTTTTGTTTTGGGGTTATGTAAACAGCAATGCCCCATTTCCCCTCTTTCTATATACTTTTTTGTGCTGAGTCCTCAATTTTAGTCTCCTATGTTGATGAACAAAAGACAACAATACCTGCATCACTTGTTTTTACTTCCAGGTGCCACTTAGAAACTATTTTGGACAAACCGAACAGCTTGAATATAAGCTAAAGGTCTTCCTTATCACCCTTAAGTACAGAATGCGAAAGGAAGTCCAACTAGAGAAGTTTGGCTGCTTTAAACCTGATACTAGACTCACTCCTTGGAAATATAAGAAGGCACCTTCATTCCATATAGGTTGGCTTCAGCTGCAATGAGCACTGGTGTGGCCTCAAACCCTTACTTATGAGCTTCTTCAAGGCAATGGAATTAGCTTATGGTACCTCTGATTACACTGGAATTGTGTGAAGAATTTAAAATTCTTAAGCCAACCCTTACTCAGAGAAAAGGTAAGGTCAGTCATCATTCCCACCATATTGGTACTCTCAATCCACAAAAATATTTGCATAGACAACTGGCTTCTTCTTGAATCACATTTTCTAAGCATGGTGTATTTCTTGTGCAAGGTTTCTTGTCTAAAATTAATTGCCTTTTCAACTTTAGTAATAGAAGTTTCTCTTCCATTCAGTGAGTAGTTTTTCCATTAGTTGAACTACTAGTTAACCCTGAATCCAGAATCCCCTTTTCCTGCATCTGTACTGAGCATGTGGTAGAATCTGTTGAATTACATACTTGAACAAATGCCAAATTTGTAATTTTCCTTTCTAATTTATTCAAAGTTCCTCTTTTTCTGGATAAAAATGGATGCAACTTTGTAGCTCTCCAGTTCTGATGTACATATGGGGATTTAGTTTTATTTGGGAAGTGAACTATTTTTTTTCCCCCACAAGACATGTACTTTCCAGAAGAACAGAACAGTCTTACAGTGTTGTGGGTACAAAGTTGTACATTCGAACCAACCCACAGTGAAATCACTTCTTCCCAAATACCGGTGTCACAGTGCCACATGACATTGAATCTAAGGTACAAATCTCTTTACATTTCAGCATTCCTGAAACTGAATGTAGTTTAGTACCATGTCCTTGTCAAGTATTTGGCAGTCATTTTTCTTTCTTAATGGAAAAAGGATGGTAAGACCTCCTTATATTTGATGAAATGCAGAACAATTCTTTAAAATTAAACCTCAGTAAAATTGCACATCACCCAGCTATATGCTATTTGCATTGTAGCTGGAAAAGAGAATCTGTGCTCAAGGAATCCCCAGTATTGCCTGTGGCTGAGAATGAGTGCTACAACAGAGGAAGGTGCCTGGGGTTCCAGGGACACTGGGATTGGGGGCAGAGCTGGCTTCCTATGCAGGCTCTGAACTGTCTCTAAGAATTGGTGGTTGCCCGTCAGGCAAAGGGTGGGAGTGTGTGTGTGGAGTAAGCAGAGAGAAAGAAAGGAACAAATTCTTCCACAGCAGAGCTGCAGGTGGTGCCTGTAACCAAGCATAAGCATTAGGGCAAACACAGGCACCAGTCACAGAAAGCACTTCAGGAGGACTGGAAGTCATAATTCAGAGCCTAAAGTGAGTGAGAAACAACGGGACGAAGCCCCTTCCTCCTGAAGTAGGGAACCTGCAGTCCTGCAAGGGCCAGCCAGCCTGGGAGTGCAAAGCCAGGGCTTCAAGGCTGGCTCCTATGTAGCCTCATGAATAGAAGAAATAAAGATTTATCAGAGGTCCTAGGTGACAAGGTAAAAACCAATAGAATGTCTACATGTTTCTTTTGGTGGAATATGTTGTCATCATTTTTTTTTTTAGATCCTGGTCACTTTCTCTTCTGTCAAGAAGGTCTTCTATAATTTCTTATGAGGTTATCTAAGTGTGTTTTGAATATGAATATTGCAATGGCTGCAGTAGAAACAATGAAAAAAACTGGAACAATTTCTCCAGGCCATAATTAACTGCATTTACTATTGATTTAAAATCTTGATTCATCAGTTGGTGTCCTCATGTGATTGAAAAGAGATCCTCAGGGAAGGTAGGAAGTTCAATTAGCCTTCCATTTTTTTTTTTTTAAAGCTAAACATTGAAGTAATTTGATTTTGATTAGTTTTTAGGGACTTTTTTTCCTATCAGGTAGCACACAGATTTTCCTTCACATTTTGATAAGGTTCTGATTACTTGAGCGTTCCAATGGATGCTATTTCTGGTTTTGTGTCTCTTGCAAGTGATTTTTGACATTTCATAAATTCATGAGTAAATGTGAAGCAGGATCATGCCTTAATTTTCTGAGTCAGCAAATCTTACAAGAGGAAAACAGAATTCTGACCTTATTCAAGGAAGCTAAATGATGGGTGAGTTTTTTATTTAAGCCCTACAGATGCAAGTCACTGCTAAAATTTGCATTTACTGGGGTCTTATGATATTTTCAAAAGATCATTTTATTTACATTTCCAAGTAACACAGGTGTTATATAAAAGCAGTAATGAAGCTTAATGATTCCCTAAAACTATTAAAATCTATTCCTAAAGTAAATATATTTATAATTTGTACTGGGGATTGAACTCAGGGACACTCAACCACTGAGCCACATCCTCAGCCCTATTTTGCATTTTTAGAGATAGAGTCTCACTGAGTTGCTTAATGTCTCATTTTTGCTGAGGCTAGCTTTGAACTTGTGATTATCTTGCCTCAGCCTCCTGAGTGCCTGGGATTACAGGCGTGTGCCACCGTGCTTGGCTCTAAAGTAAATATTTTTAATGTCTCCCAATATGTTCTTTAGTAAAAACTGATACATGTATGACCATGCCACAGATGTGTGTTTCCTCTGAGTCCCTTCACCCATTTGGCTTCTCTTTTTTCATCTTTAAAATATCAGATCAAACTAGTTGACATCTAGGATGTCCTCAGTAACCAAAACTATTTAACTGCTTTCAGAGACATTTATATCTAAGCAAAAGCTTACAGATAAAGAACACATTTTCTCTTTAAAAAATGATAATTGGAGCTTGATGTGGTGGTGCACATGCCCTAAGCAACTTAGCAAGACCATGTCTCAAAATAAAAAAATTAAAAATCTGGGGATGTGGCTCAGTGGTTAAGTACCTGTGACACCAGAAAAAAATAATAATAACAAGAACAAAAAAGATGAGGAAATTGGGTTCTAAAAATGGAGATAACTTGCCCAAGATCAGGTTCAAGATCAAGTCCACAAGGAGAAATGCTGAGAATGAAACACCAATGAGCCAATTAATAACCTCCTCAGCCTTTCATCTATTCCAAAAGATGGTTCTCAAAGGAAAATATCAAATATAACAGAAAATAAGGGGGGCAAGCTATTTAAAATGCTATCATCTTCAACATCAGTATTATTTTAAAATACCATATCCTTAGTAAACAAATTAAAAACAATAAACCACAAACTCAAAATGTTCAAGAAGGGTGTGGTCTAATTCTTAAACCTCTCTCCTGCATAAAGCCTTGCTTTCAAAGGATGATCCTGTGAGTATGTGTAACAACAAAAATTGTAGCAGCAATAACAAAGAGCCTGGCATTTGCATAGTAAATCTGAAGGAAATCTACAAGAGCTAATCATATAAAATGGATTAGTAGAGTAGAAACAAAGAACAAATACGTTGCCTTTGCTAAAGAAAAGAGTACTTGTTAAAAAGGAAGGGACCTGAAATTTACTGTATAAAATGTATTTACCTTTGACTTTATTCAGGTTGGTTCATGTACTTTTCAAATGCCAATTCAAATTTAGTATACAGATCTTAATCTGCATTTACTGTGGCCTTTTCTATAAAAGCTTAACCTCAAAAGGTGAAGAATGAAGGAACACCCTAGTCAGACAAGGTCTCAATCAACTTCCGGGAGGAAATACTATCCCCTTCAACTGTCAGCATAGAACATTATTAAAATGATAGAACTAAATGTTATCCTTAAATTACATTTCGATTGGGATCCAATTATGAAACTTGGAAGGTTCTTCTGTTACTTTAAAAAAATGATACCAAGTATGAAATTTTTTAATGTAAGTATAATGTGAGAGAAATGAATTTTACCCTGTAAGACTATGCTATCCAATATAGCAGCTGCTAGTCACATGTGGCTAGTGAGCACTTGAAATACGGCTAATCTGAATTTAGATGTGCTCAATATGTTAAACTCAGTAGATTCCAAAGACAGCAACCAAAACAAAACAAAAGATCTCATTAATAAATCTATATTTTACATTTATTTGTACTTACATAGACTATTTCTATCTCATTGATATATTTATATTTAAATTTTATAACTACATTTATATTATATTTATGTGTAAGTATAACATATACATGTATATTATAGAATACATGTATATAAACATTATACATATTATACACTATATATGTATGTATTTTATAGTTCCTTTTCTATTTTATGTTGAAATAATATTTTTGATATAGTGAGCTAAATACAATATATTATCAAGTTAATTTCACCTGTCTTGTTTTTATACTTGAACTAAAAATATTTTACTACAACCAGAATACTATATATATATATATATATATCTGCCATTATATTTTTGTTGGACAGTCTTGGTGTGTGGCATTAGGCAAATAAGCAATTAATTAATTCTACAACTTGGGTCACAGATATTCTGTACTGGATACAGTATCTTTACTCAGTTTTCTGCCAAATATCTGCTTATTATTCTGCCAGAGATGCCACTAAAAACATAAAATTATACATATATGTGTGTATATATTTATATATATTCATATATATACACAAAACAGTTACACTTCATATTTTCAAAATAAGTTATTCCAGAAAGGTAGAAATCTATGAGAAAAATGTGTTTTTTTTTCTTCACATCAGATTCATATGAATGATAATTGTAGTGTATGTATTACTATAAGAGCATCAGAAGCCACAAATATAAAGTATACACATATATTTGTAGATGAAATACAGATACTTCATATATAAATAGAACAGCTACTAATCATGTAGTGAGGAGGAAGAATATGAATGTAGGGGCCATGATTTTGTAAAATTGCAGGCAAGCATAATGTCAGCAATCAGAGGTAATTAGGGAGATACTGTTCTTTCTTTAAGGCTAAATTCATAATTTAAAGCCCCTTAAAGAGATGGTCAAGCTATTTTTTACAAGTCTGTGGGACCTCCTACCTGAGACCTAGGAGAAAATTTAGAGATCAACCTCCTCTTTTCATGGATCAGGGAACTAAGGATCAAGATTCAAGGAGATTTCCAAAAGCACTGAATAGACCTCATTTCATTAGTCTTAAATTACTGAAATAAACAGACACCAGTGTGTGGTTTACAAAATGTCAATGCTGTGAGCCAGTCCTGTAAACAAACCACCATGGCTCCTTTCTCTGGAAATGGCTTGAATTCTAGCACTTTCTTTGGTTAAGTCATGGCAAGAAAAACATGTTTGAATTTGGGCTGGCTTCCTAGCAAGGAATGAAGGATAATTTCCAGGCAGGAAAGCAGGAAGACAAGTCAGCAGCAAAGAGAAGCAGATAGAAATGAAAAACTCTCCATATACCCCCAGCTATCAGAGTCACCCTTGCCTCTGTTGGGCCATCTAGTTGGTGTTATTTAAGAACTAATAAAGGCTCCTTTTTCCAGGTTCTCTCTACTTTCTCACAGAATTAGTTTATCAGATTACATAGTAAAGCCCAGTGCTTATAAGGCAAAAGATTGTTTCGATGAGGATCAGGAAAGACAGGAGTCACTGGGTATATGCCAGGTAGGGCAGGCCTAGGTAGAATAAGCAGGAAGTTGCATGAAGGCACCAAGCTCCAGGTCAAGATAGCAAAGAGAAAAGCAAGAAGAAAGAAGCAGAAAGTGGGCATTCTTCAAAATGATGTCAGTGTTGTGGAGAACAGCACAGAGCAGACAGTACTGATGAGAAGACCCTTAACTCCTGGCCTTTAGGGAGCAGCCGGTGGAATAACGTTCTTCAGATGGATGAAGGAATTTTTACACATTCTGGAATCCATCGCCTGAGCACTGTGCTGGGCACCTTCTTTCAAAGCTTCTGATCCTGGGTCACCACTGCTCACATCTTTGGAACTATCCAGCACCAGGGCCACTGACTTTCCCTTTCTTCTCTCTGGGAAGAACAAGGCCCATCCTCTTGACCTTCCCCAAGGTAGGCCATCTATTAATCCTGTTTCAAGTCCATCGGTCTCCCCTGATTTCTGACCTCAGCACACATTTGTTGACCTCTTTTCCCCTCTGGTTACCACCTTCCTCCTTTTCTTCACAGTCAGAGTTGTTCAAAGTCTAGTTCCTTTCTCCACCATACCGGAGACAGTCTTTCACTAAAGGTCAAACTCAATCCTCATCTCACTTGACCTTTGACTATGTTTTCTTCCATTCTCAAAATCTCCCCCTTCCTTGATTTCTCAAGAAACACTCTCTAAAATTTGATTTTCATTGTTAGTTTGTCTTCCTCTGTATCTATGTTGCATATATCCGTGATCCATAAGGTTTCAGTCTTGGCTTCCTTTTAAGACACTTTACTTGCTCTTTCTAGGTGCTTTGTACCCTTCCACACTTCAACTACAGCTATATGCCAATATCTTCCAAAATTAAACACCTCTCCAGAGGACCACATCCAACTCTCCATCTCTTGACTATAATTTTCACCTGGATATTCCACAGGCACTTCAAATTTGGCACATCTAAAATTAACTACTCTCTTCCCATCTCCACCTTGGAGTCATTCTTCTGGTAACCCCTATGTTAACTGCTACCACTAAATCCACTGAATGCCTAAGTAGAGAACTTGATTTCTCTCTCATCTCTTGCAGCCAGTCCTCTGCATCCTTCCTCCTAAAAGTAATGAAGTTCCTCTTCTTTTTGTTTTCACAGGGAGGCCTTAGTCTAGACCTTCAAGGCAATACTATCCCTGTATCTGCCCACTCCAATCTTTTATACTAAGTCTGCAATATTACTGTGAAATGCAAATCTAATCACACTGCTTTCCAACTCCAAATGCTTTAATTGCTTTCTCTTGCCACTAGAGAAATTCTGAATTTCTTGGCAAAAAACCCAAGCTATCTCATATTCTGGTTCTTTTCTTCCCGTTTTACTCTACCTCACAAGGATCTGTTCCTTCCAGTCATTGCAGACAGCTAGAGCTTCCCTGAATAAACTCTTCTATTTCATGGCTTTGAGAGAATTTTTTCCACTTGGAAAGCCCTCCCCTTTTCTGTCCAGTGGACCAATTTACAACTTTCTTCAAGACTCTCCCTAAATATCACCTCCTCAGTGAAGCCTTCTCAACCCAGTATGGGCCCTCTGTCCCTTCTCTGCCAGGGGTCTGCCCCTGGAGAATTGACTACACCATGCTGGGTGTACCACTTCCCTTCTGTGACCCTCCTGCAATGGGCTTATTACATCCACATCTTGTTGGACATCATAGGTCCTTTAAGAGCAGGGATCCTTAAAGTTCATCCTTCACCTCTTTAACAGCAAGCACAACACCTGAATCATAGTAGGAATTTAGTAAACACATGCTGCATAAGGGTCTATGCGTGTGGGCTACCATTTACTGAGGCTTTACATGAGTAAAGCACTTAACACGAATATTTCATTTCCACAACACTATTGAGGGGATAGTGGCCCACTTTACAAGTGACAAAAAAAGAAAAAGAAAAAGAAAAACTTAGAAAGATGAAGCAATCTGCCCAAAGTCAAGAACTACTAAACTCAAGTCTGCTTTCAATCCCTGTGCTCCTGTCTTTAACTACTCTATTCTACTCCTGGATGAAAGGAATTGGGTTAAAGGAGTGTTTCTATAAAACAATCTCACCGAATCACAGACTCAGGTGCTGTGTTAGTCCCAAGTCTGCTGCCACCATGGTGCTACCATGCACAAAAAAACTGCAATTGCTGATGGACATAAAGAGATAGAGGCACCATTTATCAAAGGTAGCACCTTGCTCTCTGATTAAGGGTGCCCTATCCTGGAAACATCAAGCAGAAAGCTAGACTTCCTCTAAGTACTATCATTTCAGACACTGGTGCCCATGCCCTATTCTGTGAACACAGAATTGGGAGTAAGTGATGGTAATAATGGTAGTGATGATAATAATGGAAAGGATTTTGATATGCTGTTCTTGAAAAGTAGTTAGAGCACTTTAGAGTTGCTCCTGGTATAATACTCTTACCACCTAGAAGTAGAGGACCATTCTGCTTTGGACTCTCAGGAGTCACAATTAAACATTTTAATCTATTTATTCAGTTATCTATCTCTGAACACATAGACTTTGTATTTTCCACTCCACAGTACTGTATTATATTCAGTTGTCTTTTTCAATCATCCTTGTTTAATTTCATGTATTTTCTGCTAAATTTGTTCTAAACTTGACCCCTGCAATGATCTCTAATTCTAATGCCCTTTTAATATCAGTCCTCTATTTTCTACTGATACCTCCACCTCCATAACTATCCTGCACATAATTGAAATCTGTTCTGTGTTTACACTGATTAATGCATTTAATCCTCTCAGCTCACAGATGATCAAACTTATTCAGGGCCATTCAGCAAATAGAGGACAAACATGCATATCAGGGTCCAGAAAAAGGACTATCTGCCAGCATTCTCTCCCTTACCTCTGTGCCTTTTGTACATGGATTTTCTGTTTAGACTCTCCCACTATCCTCAGTCCTATCCACCTGCTGAATTCCTATTGGTCCCCCAACATTCAAGGGTAACTTCCTTCATGACCCCTCTCAGGTTTCCTCTTCCCTTTCTTCTGCCTGGATGGAGTACCTGTTCCATGAGCTTCATCACTCCTTGTGCCTCTCTTGATTCCCTCACTGCTTTTGCTGAATGGTAATTGTCATCTGGCTCCGCTTTCTCCTTTTAGGATGCAATTTCCTCCAGATCATGGTAGGATATGGGTCTGGTGTTGAGATTCCCAGCATTTAGCACAGTGCATGGTACATGGTATGTATACAACAAATATTTATTGAACACTGAGCAAATGACCCAATTCTCTGATTTGGTCAAAGGCCTCATGAATGATGTCACCTGCCTTAACTGGGAGGGGAGACACTATTCTCATCATGTGCAATGCAATGTAGGACATCCTTTTCTCAGCTTTTTTTGTGAACTCATTGTTTCTCACCAGGTTTACAAAGGGACAGTAGTTAACAATAATCAGGGAATGGCCACTTCTCAGACACTGAGGTATATGTTCACCCATA